TCCCTCCTGGCTGTACTGCCCCTGCTGGCCGCACTGCCCCTGCACCACCCCAGCTGGCCACACCACCCCCTGCTGCCCGCACTGTCCCCTCCTGGCTGCACCGCCCCTGCTGGCCTTTGCCCCCTGCAAGGCCCCAGCCTTCACGCTCTGCCCCAACAAGGAGGCCCAGTAGGGAGGCGCAGACTGCAGTGGTCATGACGCCGGTCACCAGCGCCGCGCCCAGGCTCACAGTGACCAGCCAGGTCCATCTGCCCAGCCGGGCAGAGCTCACCACGGCGGCTCTCAGAGGCAGGAGGGCCCCTGGGGCTGAAGGAAAAAGAACAGGAAGTACTCGATGGAATCGCACTGGAAGCACATGAACTACCACGTGCACACGAGGTGAGTGACAGGGAAGCAAGGGCAGGACGTGCCACGGACGGACCGGGTCCTCCGAGAACGGCCTCGCTCGGAAGCAAGACTTACCCAGGTCCGTGTTGGGGCCGGCCAGGAGCTGCTTGAACTTGTCGAGCCGGGAGGCCTCTCTCTCACTCAGTGCCGAGCTGCTGAGGGTCCCGGGGTCGGACGTCACAGGCTCAAACCACACGTGACTGGGAGGCGGGAGCACCGAGTCCTGCACGCAGGCCGTCCCTCCTCGCTGGTGGTAAGACGCCCGCCCCTCCCCGCCAGCCACACTGGGGACACCTGGGACGTCTCCAGCACAGGGCGAGGCGGCATGTGAGGTGCAGGCCTCGAGTCGTCAGCAACAACAGAGTCCGTGTCACCGCGTGCCCACCAGGAGGAGCGGCCGTGCCGGGCCCGTGGGGCACACGCAGAGCAGGCACCTCCAGGACCGGAGGGAAACACTGCTCGTGGGGACAGAAAACACATCATGTCAACGCACCCACCGTGTCTCTAAGACCCTTCTGAACCCCAAAGGGAAAGGACAGCTGGCCCCTGGAGCCTGGGGCACCGCCTGAGCCACGTGACCCAATGGGCCTGTCACGGCTGGACAGGCCAGCACACGGTGCTACGGCCACCAAGGACACAAATGACTGGCCCACGTGTCACCAGAGGACGCGAGACCCCCCACCCGAGGGGCCTGTGATCCTCAGAACGTCAGGCCGAGACCACACCGCAAGCGGGCGCTGCTCCAGGGTCACGGAGGCGAGCGGCGTGACGGCAGACACCACGCCGTCCCAGATCCCAGACCGGAAGGAAGAGGGAAGGACATCAGGGGACA